TGTGTACTTGTCTGTAGACAATAATTGGTTGTCTGTGTACTTGTCTGTAGACAATAATTGGTTGTCTGTGTACTTGTCTGTAGACAATAATTGGTTGTCTGTGTACTTGTCTGTATACAATAATTGGTTGTCTCTGTACTTGTCTGTAGACAATGATTGGTTGTTTGTGTACTTGTCTGTAGACAATAATTGGTTGTCTGTGTACTTGTCTGTAGACAATAATTGGTTGTCTGTGTACTTGTCTGTAGACAATAATTGGTTGTTTTTGTACTTGCCGGAATTCTTAATTGTTTGTTTGTTTAAACTCCGATTTATGTTTCTGCACTTGTATAAAGACTAGAACGGTTGGTTGTTTATCTCGTGTAAGTGTTTAAATGGGATTATTGATTGTTTCTTTGCAGTCACTTGGCCATTAGATACCAGCAGTTACATGGTACAACGAATCAGAATGCATTTTGGCCTGGTCACCTCATGGACAGGGTACGGCTCTGCATGCCGCCGTACAACGAGCCAGAAATAGCAGACGGCACACACAGTGTATTCTCCCACGTAAAGGGAGAACCCAGCGTGTACCCAGGACTACAGCGGGAGAATAGTGCATGGCCAATTAATGATAATGGTTATGTACAATCGGGCATTCATGACCCATTCGCCCGCAAATACAGTTATCTGTGATATGAAGTAACAAGTGATATATCATACTCATTTTAGTATGCAAATTTCCGTATTTTGATACCTTTGTGCAAAAATATGACATGTCATCAATAAAACTTAGTTATATAGCATGAATGCGACAATGGAAAATGCCATGCTTGCAGCTACTAAACAGCAAAATTCCTTCAAAGCAATGACAATGGTATAAGTGATAACTGCAATTAAAGTTGATTGAATTATACTTTTGATAGATTGATTGCCTCTGTGGCAAAATGTGTGTGATGTAATTTTAATATTATCCATTGTTTTTACTTTCATTTTAGAAGTATATGTACTGAAGATAAAGAGCCTTATACTGTTTGTAAACCTTGGTGAATATGTTTGTATGGTACCGTATAAGTAACATGACTGCCAACCAGATTGCATCCTTGATACTTGATTACGCTCTCTTTCGCTCTCTGCACCCCTGGAATATGTCATAGCAAAATTGAAGGCACAAAGACAGCTGTTTGATTGGTCTCGGGTAAAAAAAATACCTGACCATTTGCTAGGCTGATACCTGTCCAATGAAGATGGCAAAGGAGAAACACGTCTTCAACGTCAATCAAGTTTTACAGTTACGTGACCGCGAGAATCTTTTTATGTACATCAAAGGGTCGAACTAGTCTTCTTGTTCCTTCAATTTTGCTACGATATATTCCAGAGGTGCAGAGAGCGAAAGTGAGTGTAACCCCTGGAGTATCAAGGATGACCAGAGTGGAAAACTGCTGAATATATTGCATGAACGTTTTCATGGCCGTGCCTTTGAAATGTCCTTTATCTACTCTATACAAGTAATGGTGACATTAAAATGCATTTTGTTTCTCTAATATTTACTGATTAATTGGCTGAATCGACATATTGCTGTTCAATCACAAGACCTGTTAGGCATAGAATGTATGGCTTCCGACAAGGCCTTGATCTAGAAATTGCCTTAACAGTTTAACAGCAAGATCCAATGGATACCGGCTCTAACTATACATTACACCTGGTCGGGACCTAGAGCTAGCCTGTTCGTGGTTCAACACTAGTTTACCCAATGTTTATGGATAAATCACTTGACCTATTGGGTATTAACTAAAAACCATACATTGCTTGGACCTTTAACTGGCCTAATACTACTTCAGTGACAATAGACCCTGTGGACACTAACTGTATATGATACATTTTACATTGCCCATACCCGTTTCGTTGAGTTCTAGTTACATAGTTTATACGTTCCTCATGTACAAAATCATACAGATTTGCCGGTAGAGTCATGATAATTGATGTCTATAAACGCTGAAGTTGTTGTCTCCGGCTTCAGTCTATATACTTGTAGTTGCAGGTAAATCAAGCTGATATATTGGCTGGCTTAGAACTAACAGTCAGTACTGTCTAGGGTCGTCTTGGGTACAACAACAGTTGGCCGGCTTATTGACGGCTTCTGGTGTCGGAGTAGAATCTGTACAAAAAGATTACAGATTGACGGACATATAGGGAACAGCCCGGATGTTTGTCTCATAGCTGATATATACAAACACAAGCATTTGTTTATTTATATGTCCATCTATTTATTTAATCTAATAAAAAACGATTACTCAGGTAATTGCTCTGTACTATTTTGTTCCATTGTCATTTTTTTTGCAATATTTGATTAATGATAAATTGTTTTTCAGCTCTCAACAGTGGCCGTATGTGCCACATCCGCCAATAACCGTTCCTAGGGTCCCTTGCGTCATTCTCTATCAATCTTTGAAAAACTCTCCACGAACTAAAATTATTTGACATTGAGGTCATAGTTATCATGCAAGTCCTCAAAAAGAGGTCTAAAATATTGTCAAAAAAGAATGTGTCCTTTTCAGTCAACTATTAAGTATGTAAGATAAATTTATGCGAATTATTTACGGGGGACTCGCGCCAACAACAACGTGAGACACTAGTCAACTTATAAAGTATTTTAAATGGATGACACAAGATCACCAGCTAGATAATTTAATTGTTGCATAACTACTGAAATCCTATTTTTTTATCATTCAATTCAAAGTAATTATTATTTTAAGTATTTTGAAACGACGTGTGGTGAAAACGAGGGGACCGCAATGCTCCCATTCATTTACTATATGGCTGCCATCATTTTTGAGGCTGTTTTGATTCCTATTCATGGAGTTTTGGATGATTTATATAAGTTTATTAGCCGAACAAATAAGACGTTATACGTTGGCAATACCGTGACCACAAGTGTTCTTCTGACGCAGTCTGTGACGTCAGATAAACTCATGGGTGGTATTGCTTTTATTTCCTACATACAAATGTCCTTTTTATGTATCAGATGTATTCTACAATACAAAACTAGTCATCACCCCTTATTAAAGTGTTCAATTTGTATCCCGAAAACTTAAACCTGATCAATAATCGCGGACAGAACGATGTCGACCACAGAATAGGACGTCACGTTAACATAGTGTAAAATCACGCTAAAATGTTTGCAACCAGTCTTTGTTTTTAATACGTGAGTTTGATTTGTAGATAGCAACCGATGAGTTTCGGCTTATCATTGTATTAAATACAGGATCTGGTACTGCCTGGCTTTAGTGAATGTGATTTAATCACAAAGAAATACTTGAAAGGTTTTGACGTAAAAATGTCTCGAAGTCTTTTTGTTTAGTTTTTGTCTGTGATTAAATAAAATATGTTATGACCCCGAGTCTAATCACTTACACTCTTAATATATCCAAGAGACAATTACTGACCCGACAGCACGAACTTTCGAACAGTGCCTTTCTCTTTTAGTTCACATAGTTCATGGCAAAATAATCTGCGAATGACGTTATTGCTACATCTTCTACCGGTAATGATCTTTAACGCATGCGCACTCTCATGGGGCTGTCAAAGTGTTTCTCGAAAGGAAGCTGATATGTTATGTTATTACTGAAGCCTTCCACTGTGAGATTAGGCTACTCCGACAACTCGCCAATAAAACCCGTACGTGTTACATACCAATTAAAGTCATATTTCAGGCACTGTTACTGTTGTATAAGCAGGCAAATTTGATGCCTTTGAAAAATTGCATAACTGTAGCGGGTGGGAAGTTGTCGAAAATAAGACAAAGCCGCTGGGTTCGGTTCTATCGCATTTTAATGCTTATAAATAGAAACATTCTGAAATACACAATAAAAATAGTATAAGCTCTACATGCATAATTATATGTCACCTTCGGGTAAAATACAATCTACAAATCTCAACAATTCAATGACCAGTACTAAGATAATAAAATTACAACTCTTTCTGGTACTTATTTATTACATTTTCCAACAAGGAATTATTCATTGATATAAGAATAACATCTAACATTTCAACTTAACGAAAATAGACCTATTAATATCAAGCTGAATCTTCCGACCTGTTCTCCTTTCAAATCAATTTCAAAAAGTGACCGAAAGCTTAAACAAACCTACACGAGTACTAACGACACAAACTTTCGACCAAACAAATAACTTCGTCAAAGTCCGTCAAGTCCGTCACGTGTCTTACCTGTCACTGACCACAACTCACATTTCAAACGCCACAATACATGTACATATATACGTTCAAACAAAGCGCCGCGCCCGCACGAATAAATCCCGCGCGGAGCGTAAAGATGAGACATTACGTCTTGCGTCGTGAATTATATAAACACGGACATTATTACAAATATTCCATTCATGAATTAATTTACTGCATACTTCCCACCTCTCACAATGGAAAAGTGTGGGCAATAAATCACTTGTTACCACAGTCCACTGCACACATAATCCCCTTTCATGGCCAATCATGATTACATGACCATGAAAGGGTGTGTGCCCAGTGGACTGTGGTCACAAATGCTATAAGAAAGGGGAGATAATCAATCAGTGAGTAACAATGAAGTCAATACAGTGGAAAGAATAAACTTAGTTGACACATTTTAAAATAAGGGGGAAAATGAAGTTAAAAATGTTAATTTCATGATTGAAAAACACAAAAAAGATTTCCTAATCACGTGAGAGGATAAGCATTTCCTGGAAAAGTTTTAAAAGTTTATAATCTTTAGGAGCTGTTCTTTTATACAAAATTGCACATTCAAATTAATATCATTGAAAGAACTGGAATTCCTTATGGATTGTTAAACCCTTACATTGTATGCATGAAAATGGTTTCAATATCCTGTACCTTTGCCACATCTTGAAAATTAAACTGAAAATGTAGTCAGAAATTCAACATTGCTTCCCGTATTTTGTTCTAATTGTTGAACAGACACTCCTTAACTTCCCTAACACTGGACCTGGATAGTGATCCAAAAACACTTGTATCCATTATGAAGGATACACCCAGACTGGGCTATTGAGAATCTTACCTTTTTATGATTAGTACTCACTCACACAGGTACATGTAAATTATCTGCAGTGTAGGGGAGGTAAAAAGATTGTCCAGGTGAACATTTTTTTACTCAACTTTTCTGTTTTGTTCGAGTTGGGAAGCATGCAGTAAGCCAGTTATTGCATGATTTCTCGTCACTCGGGACTTATTACACCCTCGCTTCGCTCGGGTGTAATAAATCCCTTGTTACTCGAAAACCATGCAATAACCTTTACATGCATACTTTTAATTGAGCAAATAAATCAACCCTGTTACATAACTAAATATATATAAATAAATGATGATCGATGTTTTCGCGTTGAACGAGTCTGACATATTTTTTCAGACATTTACATGAATAATGGGCACGAGAACGATATAAAAATCACTTGGTACGAATAGGTTAATCATATGTTAATAAAATGTTACTGACCAAGAAAACAAAATTTAAATGGACGTCACAATAACATGCATGTTGCATTTTTAGCTCACCTGGCACGAAGTGCCAAGTGAGCTTATGCCGTAGCGCGGCGGCCGTCGTCAGTCCGTCCGTCGTCCGTCCGTCGTCCGGCGTCAATATTTTACTTTAAACGACTTCTTCTTAATAACCAAAATGCCCAGGTTGATGATATTTGGCCAGTAGCATTCTGAGATGAAAGGCTACAAAGTTTTTTCAACTGCATGCCCTTCACCCATATTCAAGGTCCCAAGGAGCAAATATGTTCAAAAGATTTAAACAACTCGTTCTGAATAACCAAAAGGCTCAGGATGTTGCTATTTAGTCAGTAGCATGCTTGGGTAAAGGGCTACCAAGTTTGTTCAAATGAATGACCTTCACTTATATTCAAGGTCACAGGGGTCAAATATGTGAAAAACATTAAACAACTTCTTTTGAATAACCAAAATGCACAGGGTGATGATATTTGGCCAGTAGCATTCTGAGATGAAAGGCTACAAAGTTTTTTCAACTGCATGACCTTCACCCATATTCAAGGTCACAAGGAGCAAATATGTTCAAAATATTTAAACAACTCGTTCTGAATAACCAAAAGGCTCAGGATGTTGCTATTTGGTCAGTAGCATGCTGGATCAAGGACTACTATGTTTGTTAAAGTGAATGACTTTGACTAATATTCAAGGTCACAGGAGTCAAATTTGTTTAAAATCTTTAAACGACCTCTTCTGAATAACCATGGGTCCCAGGATGTTGATACTTTGCAAATTGCATCCTGAGATGAAAGGCTATAGAATTTGTTCAACATAATGACTTTGTTCGACTTTCAATCACAGGGATGGAATGTTTAAAAAATAAATAAATGGACCTTTTGAATGAATTTTAATCATAAATACTGATATTTTGCCTGTAGCTTTATTTTAGATCACTTTTAAGGTTACAAGTGTAAGATTTATACCAGGTGAGCGATGCAGGTCCACTGGGCCTCTTGTTTGTATCATCCTCTGGGAATATATTAAACATTTATCACCGTCGTTGTGGTAGGGAAACATGGTTCTTTGTTTCTCCGAGGTTACTCGTGTGTCACGTGGGCGAAAACGTCCCGACATCGAGAGCATTTGGGGAGGCATTCTTATTTAATGTTGATTTAACTTTGGATACCCTTATGCGGGAATGTTAAACTTTAGCAAATAATGTTTTGGTCATGTAACACGCAATAATTGTGCTGACAACCGTCAGAACTTCATCAGGTTTGTTAGAAATGGCAATGAGTGGTATAGGACTAGAACGTCATTAGTTTAAACTGCTATACTCGTTTTTGTATTTTGATAGAGTGGTTATGCTTTTATGTAATTTAAATCGAACGTTAGTTAGTTCTTAATATTAGGTATTGCGTTGTCTAAGCATTGTAATTTGGGGTTGTAGCTCAAATGAAAATTTAAATACATTTGAAGAAGAAAACAAAATCTGAATTTGTCAACTGCTAGTTGTGCTGAACTTTAGAAACACGTCTTCAGGACAAATTCTTAGGCACGAATAACCATTTTTGAAGACGTTTAAAACCGAGCCAGAGAAACCATGCCAAAATTAGGTAGGATATTTAAAGAATCTGAAATCCATTTAGAACCTTAACTCATAGAGTGTACACACTGTAGCAACACTGTCGAGAACATTCAGGTAATAAGGATATCCGTTAGCAGCCATTGACAACATCCTACTAGTTTCACTGACCTTTCGGTGATAGAAAATCTTTCCAAATATGAAAAAAGAAAAGAATTACCATCGACC